CTCTGAAAGTTCTGCAATATAATATCGTCAACGGAATTAAATATCGTTTTCAGATGTGCTACTTTCATTAAACGCAGTACTTATTAATAATTTCATTCCATCAATTGATCATTTCCATATTGCCTTTTTTGTAATTCAAAATGTCATTTTTTACACATTATCCAATCTCAATATTTGACTCACATTTGTTATCCAGTCTCAAAATTTCAAAAGATGTGGTGCACTGTACTTCTCTCCGTCCCTTTTGTGAGCTGCGACATCCATCCAGCGTTGTTCCACAAGGGGAATTGCCGTCGTTCTACATCGACAGAACCCTTCATTTCTCTGTCCTACACGCCCCTTCCCCCCCCCTACTCCGGTATTCAACAAAGCGGGAGGGTATGCTCTCGAGAAACTACGCGTTGGTTGTACTCTACCGATACTCGCCGTCAACACGTATCATGTTTACCCGTATTCTTTGTCGAAGTTTTGGTGTTTCTTGTTGAGCGATCTCATATGAGTTGGGTTTAAACATTTCGATGGTGAATTAAATTATTTTATAATATGAATTTTGTCAATTTACAATCTGTGCTACATACATTCCATTATACAGGAGACGTATGTGCGTTTCTTTCAGTTCAGGTGAGGTTCCCTTCAAGTTGATTTTCTTGTACAACAAGGTGAACAAGGTAGTTAACAAGATATACGAGGATTGTTCAACTTCATTTATTTCTATTATATTTACATTTTTTTCATATCATGGTGTGAAAAGTGTCTATACAAGAAAGGGAATAATTATCGAAGGGCGAAAACTTTATAGATCAGACATTTTATTATCGAATAGATTGAAAGTAGTTGAAATGTGTAATTAATTGACCCAATATTTAAGCATATGCCTACTTTACTCTTTTGTAGTACATACGTATTTTGTTTTTAATTCTTAACAAAGTAAATTTACAATATACATTAAAATAGTTGGTAAATATGTTGATTTTGATAGTTGACAATGACAATTTGTGGGTGAAAGTATCCCAGTAGAACATTTCACCGTCATTTTACGTAGAACAAAAATCCATTTTATTGCTTTTTGTTAGAAGTCAAAGTTGAGGAATATATGTTAGTATTTATATTGTGACTAATTTGGAAATCTATAATAGAGCTGTAAGGGTTCTAGTCTGTGAAATCGGTTGATTTCTTCACTATTATCTAGTAGGTTAATGGCTAAGGGATTTTGGTGGTTTTCCAGACGTTGAAGGTAGCTTGTGCGGCTTGTTTTGATTCTTTCAATGACTGTCTGTACTTTTAAGTCTCTGAGTAGCATTTTATTTGAGGCATGCCATGGTTCTGCAGCAATCACCCTAAATGTGTTTGATTGAAATCTCTGTGAAATGGAGAGATTTGACTTGTTTACAGAGCCCGAAATTTGGAAGCCGTAGGTCCATATAAGGATTAATATTGTCCATATTGGTCAATAATTTATTGTCTAAGGATAACTTCCAATAGTAGTCATATAATCTTCTCACTTATAAGTTCCTTCTTCTTGGCGAGTATGTGGGGTTTGAAGGTAAGCCTTTTGTCCAGTTGTATTCCTAAATACTTCACACTTTTAACATGCAAAATTGATTTATTATTAATATTTACGATGGTACATTTTTCTCTTCTCAAAGTGAAAGTTAAATCAGCTGACTTGTTTTCGTTAATTTTTATTTTCTACTTGTCTGCCCATTCTTCAATTAATATTAGATGCTCTTGTAATTTTCTTATCGCTTTAGTTGGGTCATCACCCATGTTTGGGTGCTTATATGACAGTATAATCTGCAAATGTAGCTATTGTAGTTTTCTCACTTTCCAATATATCTCACGTGTAGAGCTGATGTAGGACTGAACCAAGTACACTACCTTGGGTTACACCGGATTGGACAGGAAAGAAATTGAATAATTCGATTTGATATTTAATTTAGAACGTTCGGTGGGAGAGATCTGAAGATATTGAATTGGAAGAATGCTTATAGGTCCATAACGTAAGGGTTCGTGAGAAAGTTTACCTGGCTTTCAAGACACGTGGAACTGTGCTACTGTTCATTGCACTAGATAATGTCAGGTACGTAGGATACTGTTGAAGATACCAGTGACAAATGATGTTCCTTTGCGTGGCCGTTCTTTTAGAGGTGTCTCGGTGATGTCATAACCGGGAGCCTTCTTGCTAGACAATCCCTTTTTTAAAAGTTTTTATAATTCTTTATAGGTAAAATATTTTGTTGGTAATGCCATTTGTGTAGGTGATTCTAAAAATTCTCGAATCTCGTCCGGTTGGTTTAAATTTCGGATGGATGGTTCGAAAACGTCCAGTAATATGTTTTGCAAATACTTCTATTTTTTTCTTTACTACTTCGTTCTTTTACTTACGAATTGGAGGTGAAGCTTTACTATGTCGTTTTAAATTTTTTATAGCTTTAAATAAATTATATCCGAGGCTTGAGTTGCAGAGAAATTGGTGACGTAATTTTGAAAGATAAAATCGTTATCAATCAACCACATTATCATGACAGCCAACACTTCTTTGAACTATTTGAAAATGTTCTAATGCAACAAAGTCAGCAGATAAATGTACTTCTTAACTTAGTATCGACATTCGTAACTAAATTGTCCAATGTATAACTTTTTTAGAATAGTGGCTTAGAATGCAAACAGACTAGCTCAACATTGCCAAAAAGCCCCTTTGTAATATTTCTTTCAAAAAATAAAATTTATATTATCTTGATCTCGGAAACACACTTCACAGAGATAAACTATTTTAAATTGCAAAACTATACACCGTATGCTGCAAAACATGTAGGTACTTTGACACAAAAGATCTTTACGAGCTAAGGCCTACCAGCAGCGTCTTGGTCTTGCGGCCATGGGTAAAGGAGTACACGTGGTTAGCAAACAGCCTACGCATGATACAAAACATCCAGATGGCAAAGCGCGCGGTGGTATGGCAATATTGATTAAACGCGATATCAAACACCATGAAGAATGCGCTTTTCATTGTAAAGACATTCAAGCAACTACAATACAATAGAATGCTACCAAGGACCACTCGGATCAAGTGCTATATATTGTTCTCCGAGATTCAATATAGATAAGGCACGATTTGAAATATTTTTCAATAGTCTTGGTACCCGTTTTGTATGCGGAGGAGACGTAAATGTCAAACACGTGCAGTGGGGATCGAGACTCATTGCTACGAGATGTCGCGAACTACAAAAAGCTGTAACATCGTTGAAACTACTAACCATCTCTATAAGAGAATCAACTTAATGGTCAATTGACGTAAACAAAATATCATAAATAATTGACATCTTTATAACTAAAGGAATTTCACCAGGTTACTTATCTACTGAAGCTTCCCAAGCTCTGTTATCAGATCACTCGTCCTTCATAATAACAGTTAGCACTAAAATTATTTTGAGCCCTGCACTAGTAGAAAATAAACCACTAGTAAATAAACACACAGATTGAAATATGTATTGTAACTGGATACTCACTTTCACAAGCATTGGAATGACCTTGAGATCACAAGATGGCATCTATGAAGTTACTGAGATTATAAATAAAAGCATACAAAAAGCAGCGTGGCACGCTCTACGTTGACGATAATATAACATAACCGGTGATAAATATCCCTTCTATATTCCGAAACAAATTCCTGAAAAAAAAAGAAAACTTAGAAAACTATGGCATAGGACAAGATACCCAGATGATATAACCAACTTCAATAGAGCTACCAGGCAATTATCCACTCTAACTAAAGCCTTCAGTACTCGATTTGAACACTCTCCATTACATTGTGTTAAACAGGCACTACATTTATAACACATAAAAACTGGGTCAGTCAATCTAAACATCCATGGCGGTTAATTGTAGATGTGAAACATCAAGAGTAAAAACAACCGAGTTACGTGACCATCGACAGTTTATATTTTTTCTAACTCTTAGATCGATGCCACCAGCGGCAGTCCGCGGCACGGGTAGTATGACGGAAGCATCCCTCACTGCAGTTTTGCCAGTTTTGCTGCTTTGCCATGAGAGAGCAGGTGGTAAAGTCGCCTTGACCGTTTCGAGGCTTTACACATGAAATACGATTAGGTTGAATTTAGGTAAATAAATTCAAGAACGTTTGTTTTCATTTTTATTTGTACATTTACGCCTTCACTATCGGAAGACGGCGGGTATAATACTACAGATCGTTTCCTTTCCGAACGCTAGTTGCGCTGAGAAGCGCAGTGCAACGGTGCCACGAAGCATGCTACTGTAGTAGGAGACTTGACATCACTGTCTTAGATACTTCTTGGAATGGAATGGACCAGTTATGTTCTTGATCTCCCGCTAATTGAGAATGCTGGTCCTGAACCGAGGCCCTGTACGAGCAGGCTGATGATCCTGTTAAGTTGGCAGGGCGGAGAGGCGGCGGCGACGGCGAGGCTGGGCCCCGCCCGCACGCGATGCTCGACGGCTCTTGAACAATTCAGGGCGGCTATCGACGGGGCTCCGCCGCGCCCCCACCGCTGTTGCTAGCCACGTGTGTTCTTCCTCCCCCTCCCTGCGACCCCCTGCTTCCACCGACAACCCACAGGCCCTGGAACCAGCCATTCTTCTGCGTCCTCTGATTTGTCATTTTGTTCTTCGTATCGAACTTCCTGTTGTTCTTGTCATTCGTCTTTTCGTCTTTCTCCTCCAAATCCTTCTTCTTTTTCTTCTTCTACTCTTGTTCATCGTATCGTTCTTCTTGTCCTGAAATACTATAATAATTTATCACTTTTTGTGATCACAAGAAGTTACCTACAAATTAATAATTTCAATTTTGTTTAAAAAAAGGAGAATGCGATCCACTACATCCCTCAACAATCTAGGGCGTGGTAACACCGATTGCTTTACTTCTTCTCCTCTGCCTTCTGGGTCTTATTATCGAACTTCTTGTTATTCTTTTCATTATTTTTTTTCGTTTTTTTCCTCCTCTTCCTTTCCTCATTTTTTACCTTTTTCTCTTTCTCTTTCTTCTTCTTCTTCTTCTTCTTCTTCTTCTTCGTCTTCTTCTTTTTGTCCTCCTCTTTCTTCTTCTCCTCCTTCTCCTTTTTCTTCTCTTATTCTTCTGCTCGTTCTTCTTGTTCAAAAATACTACAATAATTTGTTACATTTTTACGATTACAAGAAGTAATCTACAAATTAAGAATTTCAATTTTGAAATAAAAGGACAGTATAGTATAATAACATATCATTAGAGAAGAATCAACGGTTTGAAAAGCTCAGCAGCTTGTGATAACAAGCGATTCAAGGATCTTTCAGTTTCAAAATTCCACATCTAAATTGGTTTCTGCACTGGCGTGGGCGTACTCTCCTTCCGTCAGAGTTCAATGTTCGCCATTCACGCTGAAGGACTTCTGCGACTGCGTAGTAACAACTGCACCGCAGCGACACCAGAAACAGAGACAATAATGTGCATTAGTGGGCAGTACTCGAACTATGGGCAGGAATGACCGAATTCTATTTGCGGTAATATTTTTTCATTGAGATTTTATCCCCGTATTAAGTAGTATTGTTCTATTCATACACATAGGTTAAAGAAAAAGACTGTATTGTAATATAATTTTGTCATTTGATAACACTTATTTTGTATAAGTAGAAAGAATTCAGTATTCAGTATTCCCTGTATTCAGGGAAGTAAAAGAAAAAATGTTCCATATAATTACAAATGTTTAAAAAAACAAACAATTTCGAGTCTAATCAAAACACATTCTCCACGCAAGTAATTGTTTAAATTTGGATTAGAAAGGCGATCATCTACTTCTCTATATGGCCTTTGGGCATAGTTAAAAACTAGTATATCTAGAAATGCGTACTCAATCCAAACGATGCCAGTGTTAAATTTATTTTGTTAATTTACTGCCAACTTGTTTGTTATAATTGAAGTTAAAAATAAATTTTGACAACGTATATAAATGTCATCTGTGGCACTTCAAAAGTAACGGACCCTGAACAGAAAAAGAATCGTTCTTTCCTACAAGTTTCCTGGGGTTAGGGTGAAGAAATATACGATTGGAGTTTGAAAGAAGGTATACCTCGGAAAGTGGGCGGGAAAGACATCTAATCGTATACGAGTGAACCAATAACGCTGTAAGTTTGAGCTTTAAAGAACAGGTAGTAGAACAATTTACTATCTCAAGAAGAAAACTTTTTTACTTACTTTTCCATTGCTTATGTGCGTAGCTCATGCTCGTTTCTCATTTCTGTTTGCCTAAGGTGTTTCTGAACTAAATAACGTATAAGAATTTTACATAATGATTACCAAAAAAATGATTTTTTGGTAGATTTATATTAATAGCTTAACATCGAAATAATACGAATATGTAATAAAAGTACATATACGAGCAAACTCAAATTTGCCTTCGAATCCCTTAAACGGGGTGCTTTCGGTATCAGCGTCGTTACTGATTCGAGCTCCAATGCGCCGAATTCACAGGAGGGCAATCGCGTGGGATCCGTTGACTGCCTCACTTTCGCCCCAGCTCTCCAACACGTCGAGGGGCAACAGTGCAGATAAGGGACAGAGAGTTGGTTTTGGTCGCTTTCCCTAAGCTTCGGGAGACTAGCTCAATCCTCAAGGTCTGTTACTACCAAATTTATCTATAGTATGGTGGAGGAATTATACAAAACTGGTTGTACATTTTTTAGGTAAACGGAAGTTTTGTAGAGTATATTTTTATATTTATTAAGCGCTTAATATAACCATTTAATGAGGCGTTCGTGGTATAATAACGCCATATTATTACCTGAAACGAACTTCAAATACGACAGGGCTCGAGTGAATTTTCATTGGAATGTTTTGTTAATTTTTAAATGCAGTAAATGCCTCCTGCCTCCTTTATTAAAGCCAATAATCTGTTTGGTCCCAATTGTGAGATCCCTTTTTTAACATTTTTTAAAATTTATTTATTGCTGAATCAACAAGACTTTTAGTGGCATATATATAGTTTACATTAATTTATGGATACAATACAATAATACACAAATTATTGAAAACACGATGTTTTTCAGTTTTTATTCCTCTATTAAATTATTCATCTCTTTATTTTACTTCCCTGTGATAGACTCTTTCCTGTGTTTTTTCGACTTTGTGTTGTAGTAATTTATTTTAATACATGCATATTTAATATTTTATTAATATATATTTCGTATCACCTAAGATGACTATCCGGGACTAGGCGCGTCTCTTTCGCTTTTCTGAACTCTGACGAAGGTCATATATATATATATTGGCGGAAACGTCATCAGCTACTACGACAAAGACAGGAGTCGTCACGAATACCCTACAATACAAACTCCGGCCGTGGAAGCCTGCGCCAATATTTGCACTAGTATTTCATTTTTATTTTTATCAAAACGTTTAGTTTTTTATCTTCATAATATTACATTTTTTAATTTAGGAGAATCCAGGATTGAATCCAATTTTATATGCGTGTCGGGGTGTGAGGCGGCGTACCTCTGCGACGAAGGCGGCGGCGGCGCCGGCCGCGCCGACGGCCCACGCCGCGAAGGCCTGCTGCAGGGGGTGCAGGGCGAGCGGCGCGGGCGCGGCGGTGCGGTCGTCGCCCTGGGCGAGGCGCGTGAGGTTGAGCAGCGCGCGGAAGGCGACTAAGCCGTCGCGCTGCAGCCGCTCGGAGAGGCCGGCCTCCACGGCGGCGCGCAGCAGGGCGTCGAAGCGGCGCGCGTAGGGCCAGTGGCGGCGCGCCGGGAAGGAGGCATAGGCCGGCGACAGCGCGCACTGCTCCGCCCGCCGCAGCCGCCCCGCGCCGCCGCCAGCCGCCGCCGGCAGACGCCGGTACACCTCCAGCGCCTCCTGCACTGGGAGAGGTAAGGAGGTTAAAGGATTAGTGATGGAATGGGAGTGGACTAATGGATTAATCGGTGATTCCGGGCGCGTCAATTTCTAAGGTCATTATTCCTGACCTGTAAGTGTAAGGCAATTTGTGCATGCATGAATGGCGTTATCCGGCGACAACCTATCTGTCGGCTAGCGGGGATTTCCCCAACTAGGTATCTCCTACCAGGAGTACCTCCAGCTCTAAGCCCCCGATCAGTGTCCCTAGACGTATGGTATACTGTAGTGCTTGCTAGTGTAAGTGCGTGTAAATAAGGGGTGAGAATAGGTCGAGGAAGGGGAAGGAAAGAATGAGCACGATCCGTGGCCCGATTGGTAGAGTACAACTCCGGCATTCGCCCCGTATTCATCGGAGAAACCACGGAAAACTATCGATCACGCAGCCGACCGCTAGGGTTGCCTTCCAGACTGCCGCTGAATACTACCTGGCTTTCTGGCTAGAGTCAAAAATCCTCCCACCAACTGTACTCTAGGACATCCCGGTCAGTGAAATCGATTAATGCTCTCAGTCACCTATGCCGGTAGAAGAGAAGGAAAGGAAATGAGATCGGATAGGAGCGGAATATAATTAAACAGAGAATGTGGAATACGAATTAAATGAAAAATAAATGTTTAGGGAATAGGGATAGTATGGAAAGCAAAAAGAAATTAGGGTAGAATATGAATGGAATTGAAAAATAAATGAGGTAGAATAGGCGTGGAATGGAAAACTAAAAGTGGTGTAATAGGAGTGGAATGGAAAAAGAAATGTGTAGGGATAGGAATGGAATAACGAGAAATGGGTTAGCAGTATAGTATAGAATTAAATGTACTAGGAAATTATATGATATATAAATAGAGTAGAAAAGGAATTGTTGTGGAATACGAATATCACTCAATTCAGCATACCTATCAGTTTGCCGATGAACTGGCATTAATGGGACATGAGAAGAAGGTAAAAGACTTTGTCACCAGGATGATACAGGAAAAACACAAAAAAACCCTAAGAAAGTCTGTTCTCACGAAAAACCGTTAGTACATTGAACCTCTCAGAGTATGCACGACGCACTGATCTTGAAAACTGGCGAAATATACTGCGATTTATTGAAAGCGTCAGGTCATGCGCTGTTACGGTGCTATCTATTCGGGACCTTACAAGTCACTACAGGAGCGTCTTTATGGTGGAGTCCAACCTTCCGATTGAATGACGCCGAAACAGCTGATGTACGTCACAGGCAACGATGGAAAAATCGCAGTATTATAAAGCATGCGAATGCCATTATTTCTTGAGAGCAACGATATGAAATCTGGCTCTATCGAAAGGAAGTGGATAAAGATAAAAACATAACAGGTGTACTGAAACTCGTATAATGCAATTCAAACTGTTGTAAAATAGATCTGAAAAGTAAATAACGCTGTAAGTTTGAGCTCTAAAGGACAGATAATAGAACAGTTTACTATCTCAGGAAGAAACTTCTTTGCTTACTTTTCCATTGCTTATGTGCGTAGCTCATGCCCGTTTCTCATTTCTGTTTGCCTAAGCTGTTTTCGAACTAAATAACGTGTAAGAATTTTACAGAATGCTAACGAAAAAAATATTTTTCGTATTTTCTATCACAACCTATAAATAGGACTCTAAAATTTTCAATGTGAATATCAGCATCTTTATAAAGTAGCTGTATGATTTTATTTAAAGCTGTCGTCAGTGTTATTTCAGTTGAATACAATGTGGATTCGTACAATCAACGGTTTATCCTCGCGAAAGTTATTTGTTTCATAATGTTGGGTAGTCGAGTCAGTGTGAATCTCCTTTCAAAGATGTAAGAACAACCCAGGAACCTCGTATCTCTTGTTCCTTTCTTGTGCAGCGAGATGATAAAAAGCAGTAGCCTCGAGGCGGTGTATAATTTTGTGGCTCCTTACCTTGCTAGTGAAACTTCAAGATTTTCGTGAAATATGAAGACGAGAGCCGAACTTCAAGTTATACAAAACACTGGAAGACAAAGAGCTCCGGAGAGAGGAAATAAAAACGAGAGACGTTTACAAAGTGATGATGTAAGCCAGGGATTTCCAAGCATTTGGCGCTGCGAGACGAGTATCAAGCATTCCAAATGGATGCAGTAAATTGCTTTTGGAATTAACCCAATAAAATGTTTTGTTATTTCGTGCTATTTGTCAGTTCCATAGAACGTGATTACTAATGTTAAAAGTGGAATGGGAATACATTTAAGGACGACTTATTAACATTTAATAACGTAGCATTGATGTTAAGTTTCCAAATCGTTTGTTCTCAATCTTATGCATCATCATTATATTAAATTCGAATAAGAAAGTATAGATATCCCGATTAGACACGTGATAAAATAATGAAGCTTTGAAGAGAGAAATTCAACGAGCAAATATTCAGTTTGAAGGTACCAGTCCATTCATGCGACCAACCTTAAGGAAATTAAACTTTTCGAAGAATTAAAAGATTAGCCGTCTGACGATTACTTCAAGTGTGTCGCTGCCTCTTGGACTGTTCGTCCTTAGTAGTGCACTGACCTCACCCTGACTCCGCCCGCTCCGCCCCGACACACTCCGCTATTGCCCGTCCCGCATAGGCTGTGATCCTAGTGTAGTAAAATATAACAGATTAGCCGTCCGTAGATCACTTCATATGTTGTGTCGCTGTCTCCCGGACGGAAAGGCAGTGAGGTGAGGCGAAGCGAAGCGGAGCGGGGTTCGGCGGCGAGGAGCGTGGGAGGAACTCGCCTCGGTGTGCAGCAGCGCGGCGGAGCGGCCCGCCGCCACCTGCGCCGCGAGCGCCGCCCACTCGGAGAACGTCACCGCCGGCTGGAACTTGGCCGCGAGGCGCGCCACCGCGTCGCCTTCTGCCTCCGGCCCCGCCTCCGGCCCCGCGCCCGCCTCCAGCAGGTTGGCGAAGGCCGGGTGCACGAACACCTCGTCCACCGCCGACGCCACCTGGGACACGCACCGTGGTCACCGCCTTTGCATTACCCCAGCCCCGTTTAAGTGGACAGCCCACTTGGGATGTCCTGGCCTAGCGCTTACCGGCGGGCCAGTGGTGGTTGCTTGTTGAATCCAGTCCAAAGGAAGAGGGAGGAGAGGAGGTGTGATCGGGTGCCATCGGCTCCAATTTAGTGAAAGGATACTGGTTCGCGAGCCATTGCAGTCAGTGTCCGCGGGCAGACTGGCCCAAGTTCTTGCATTTGAGGAGCGATGCATAATACCAGACAATCGTACTAAATGATAGATTGGCATCCACCTGGGACCCATACTTTGGTCACCGAGTTAATTTACCCTTGCATTACATCAGCCCTGTTTAAGTAGGCATGATGGGGCCAGCTCGAAGGAAAAAGTGGTACTCGGGCACGATCGGCTCTATTTCAGCGAAAGACGAATGGTACGTGAGTCGTTGCAGTAGACTACCGACAGTCTAGTCTCAATTGCTGCATTTGGGCAGAACTGCATTACACCAGACATTCGTAGTAACACATAAATTGTTAGTGACTTTTTGCGTGCTGGAGAAGCAGCAAAGCAAAGAAATTGCGTCATCTTATTGTCACTCTGTTCAGAGGCGCAGGAAAAAGCTTAGATGTGATTGAGCTAACGTATGTACTTGGATTTTAAACATTTGCATTATATAATTTTTAATCTAACTGTCCTTTACATTTGATTGCATTGTGTGGATTCATTGAGAAAGTGCATGAAGAACATGGAATTACCATGATCAATCCTCATGTTAGAATATACTCCATAAACCGACTTTGATCAACGATGGTGTAGCAACGTTCCACTGTTAAGCATAACATACAATGTACGTCGATCTGAATGTTTTTCAAAGAATATAGTGCACAGTAATCAAATTAAGATTTCTTACCATAATCCACGGACCGCTTTAAAAATTTTCTAAATCCTTGATTCGTTGCAATTCATTGAGTAATCATTATGGTTGCCAGATGTGTCGAAAAGAAAAAACGGACAACGTTTTAATTATTAATTGGCTCATTAAAAACGACTGAAAATGGAAAATAAAGTTTACAATGTACTTTTTTATATATTTAACATTCAATGACATTACTTTTAATAAATATTTAGTTGTGTAATAGATGGCGCCGCCATATTTTACACGAAACATCTTTAAAATCAGACAACCTTTTGTTTGGTTTACCAAGATTCCCTTGATCGGACAAGCATGAAGAAAACCGGACTGTCCGGCCGACTGATCGCGAGTGTTTGGCAACCACAGCACTCCTAATTATTGATAAAAAGCGGGAAGAGTAAGAAGGACGTACCTCGTCCAAAGTGTCGAGCTCGCGGCCGGGCATGCGCGCGGCGAGGAAGCTCATGAAGACGCCCTGGAAGGCGCTGGTCATGACGAGGCCGAAGGCGCTGAGCAGGGCCAGCAGGCAGCGCGCGCGCCCGCGCACCGCGTCGTCGAAGCCTCCGGTCACGAAGGTGCACAGCGTCGCCAGCAGCACCTCGCCCACGCTCCACGCGCCTGCCCGCGCCGCGCCCCACCGTCCCACGCCGCCCACCACGCTGCCCCCGCCGCCGCCTTCGACGCCACCCCCGACGCCGTCCCCGACGCTGGTTTCAACACCGAGGCCAACACAGCCCACGTGGCTGGCCAGACTGCATCCACAACAACACCCAACGCAGCCCCTACCTTCTCCCCCGACGTTACTGGTGTAACCGACGTAGTGCTGGTCCTCTCCGCACCAGCTGCCGAATGCTCTACAATTCCTGCTGTATCCCATGGCATCACAACCTTCCCCGTGACG